TTCAAAACAACATAGGTCCTCTAGATTTGGTTTTATTTAAAAAAAAAAGGTGTATGTAATAATTTAAAAGTTATAACTACAGAGAGAAAAGGAGAGACAGACAGGGAGAGAGAGCTGCTGCTTGACTCCCCAAATGACTGCAAGAGCTGGAGATGCGCCAGGCCAAAGAAACAAACTTCATCTGGGTCTCCAACATGTGTGTCAGGGCCCCAAACATTTGGCATATCTTTTGCTGCTTTCCCAGGTGCATTAGCAGCGAGCTGAATTGAAGAAAAGCAGGGCTGGAATTGGTACCCACATAGGATTTCAGTGGTTTAACACAATGCTGGCCCTTAGATTTTGTGTTGTTTGTATTATGTTTGACTTTTACTGAGCTTTTTCTATCTGTATAACAGTAGTTTTTCATTAAATTTAGCATGAATTGTTTCTGCTTTATAATTGCTTATGTCTAGGATTCCAGTTAAGTCAGTAAGGCAAAAAATAAACAGATGGGATTACGTTGTTTTCTTTTTGTTGCATTTTTTGATCTCTATGGAATCTGGATATTAATTCTCTACCAGTTGCATATTTTCCAAATATTTTCACCAATTCTGTCAATTACAACTTCACTTCATTGAATGTTTTCTTTGCTGTGTAGATGCATCTTGATATAATCCCAATTTTCTATTTTTACCTTTATTGCTTATTTTCTGAAGTCTTATCTACAAAGCCCTTGCCTATGCCAATGTCTTCCCTATTTTTGCCTCATCTAATTTGATGGTTTAGATCTTAGGTTTACATCCTTGATCCATTGTGAATTGATCTTTGTGTAGGAAAAAAGGTAGGTTTCTTGGTTTTTCCTCTTGCAATCCAAAATTGCATTTTGCCAATACCATCTCAAACAAAATGATCTACTAGGAGTAGAAAGACTGTCCTTTCTTCAGGGAGAGATTTTACTCATTTTCTAAAAACAGTTGGCTGTTGATACATGATGTTCTATTGGTCTGCATGTCTGTCTTTGTGTTAGAGCTGCACTAACTATCCTGTAGTGTGTCTTGAAATCTGATATTGTAATGCCTTATATCATCTGTGAATAGAGATAACTATATTTCCTCCTTTCCCATTTAGATCCATTTGATTTTTTTTTATTGTCTAGTGGCTCTAATTAAAGCTTCCAGAAGAGTATTGAATAGTAATGGTGAGAGAGAACATACTTTCCTGTTTATGGATCATTGTGGAAATACTTCCAGCTTTCTACTACTCAATATGATGGTGGCTATGGGTTTGTCATGTATCCCCTTGCTTGTGTTGTGATATGTTCTTTTTTTAAAAAAATATTTTTGATAGTATTTACATAGTTGATCAGGGTGGGAAGGGTCAAGGATCAGGGGAAAGTGGGCAAGACCATTGCTTACACATTTCTTCTTCCTGTATCTGGAGTAAGGGAGAATACCATGGGAAAGAACACACCCAGCCTCCCTGGTACCTGATGTCATCCTGGATCCAGTCCCTGTTGTGGGGCATGTTCTCAGGGTTCCACTCAAGTTCATTCAATAGTTCTGAAATGCTGTTAGTTCTGAGATGCAATAGTTCTGATATTGCTGCCCAAAGGATGAGGAAATCCTTCCAAGGTCAATCGGCTGACATATTCCATCTCAGTCTCTTTTGGCCCAGAAGTTTGCTGTCAAGTTTCACTATGGGTAGTTGACCAATTTATTCTACCCTCCTTTCTCTGCAAGCCAATGGGTGCTGCGGCCCTGCCCAACACTACCCACCACACCCTTGGCCCTCACATGCATTGGGAGCTGCAGCCCAGTCAGTCAGAGTGATCCCCAATAACCCTCACTGGACCTGCCTCCAGCTCTGATTCCTGTGCCTGCAACATGTGCATTGGACTGATCCAATCTGTCCCACATCTCTTTCAGCTTTTATACAGTTCATTGGGCATTGAGGCCTAGTTCAATCCAATTGACAACACTTCCTTGCCAATGGGTGACACCACCTATCCAGCCAGGCCCGCCGCCAGTCCTAGTTTTCATGCTCACAAGTGGGAGTTGCAGCCCATAAGAGAGGTGCCCACAATTTCCCTACAAGGTCCACTCCCGAATCTTGTACACTCCAGTTGGTTCTGCAGTCTAGCCACACATAACTTGCTCCCTGTCCCAGCATTTGCCAGCTGATGCTGTGGCAAAGCCCAACCAGCCTGTACTTATTCTGGCCCAAGCGTGCACCAGTGGATACAATTGATTAGCCCAGCCTGGCTCTCCTCCAACCCAGTTCACATGTAGACCAACATGTGTTATATCCCTGATCTGCCCCTAGTCCCAGCTCTCATGCTCACCAGCAGGAGCAATGGCTCAGCAGGGGAGCTCCCACACCTCTCCTACCAGGCTTGCACCCCTTCCCCCTTTGCATGTGCTGGTGAGTGCTGCGGCCCAGTTTGGTATGGCTCATCTCACCTTGGCATTTGCCAGCAGGTGCTGCAGCCTGGCTCAGCCCAGCCTGTTCCTGTTCTAGCTCACACTGGCTGGTGCTGACACCCAGCCTGCACAGTCAGCCCCTAGTCCTATCCCTAATGGGAACTGGTGGTGATGCAGCTAGCCCCAGCCTGTCCTGCACCCTGTCCTGGTTCTCAGATCTGCTAGTGGATATTATGAATTGCAGCAGCATGTCCCACCCCCAGACCTGAATCACATGTATGCCGCCAGACATATGTATAACCTGGTCTGTTCTAGGCTCATCATTGCTTTGGTTCTTACACTCACCTGCAGGGACTGCGTCCTGACAAAAGATTTCTCCAAGCTCCTGTAACAGGTCAGCTCCCAGTAATAGATCTTGCATGCACCAGTAGGTCTTTGGCCTGGGCTGACTTAGTCCATCTCTTGTCCTGGCAGGAACAGTAGCCTTCCCAACTGGCTCATACCTAATCTGGTTCTTACTGTTCAGCGTCACAGCCCAGCCACTTCCAGTCCAAGCCCTGATGCATCTTTCACATGGCCCAGTAAGAGTCGAAACCCAGCCCAACTGATTCTACACCCATTCTGACTCTCATAAGCAGCAGTCAGTGCTGGAGTCTAGCTCAGTCTGGCACACTCCAGACCCAGTCCACACTCTTATCCAGGGACACTACGGATATGTCCAACCCAGACCACCGCCCCCATTCTGGCTGTCATGCTCACCTGTGGGAACCACAACTCAGCTGGGGAATCCTCTTAGCCCCCCAACTAGGCCTATTGCAGCCCTAGATTTTGTGCATGCCAGTGTTTGCTGTGTCCCAGCTCAGCATAGCCCATCCCCTGTCTTGACTTTGCCATCCAGGTGCTGTAGCCTGGCCCTGATCCAACCCATTTTCAATTCTGACTCTCACTGGCAAACATGATAGCCTGGCCCTGCCCAGTCCACTCCCATCCCCGGCTCATGCAAACCAGTAGGTGTGATAGCCTAGTCCGGCATGCCCTGCATTCCAGCCTGGCTTCTGTTCTTGCCAGTGATTTAAGGTTGGCCAGGCCCTTCCCTGTCCACTCTCTTCCAGAGTCAACCTACACTCTTACCAAAGGGTACAGCTACACTGTTCAGTCTGACCAACACCCAGGCCAGAATCACAAGCTAACCAGCAGGAACCGCATCCCACCAGGGGATTTTCCCAGGTTTATCCTACCAGGCCCACTCCCAGACCCAGATCTTGCATGGCCCAGGTCATGCCAGTGGATGCTAGGCCCTTACCTGGCATAATCTGCCTCCTCTGACCTGGGCTTTGTGGTGGTTACTCTCCTCTTAGACAATGCAAGACAATGCAGTAAGTTTGCTTCCTTCTTTTTTAGAAATTGTGTTCAATGTAGTAAAAGATGAGTAACTAATATAATAATATACCCTAACAGCAAAATGAAGAGAAAATAGTTCATTGAAGCTACATTTATTATGTAAAAAATTCCGAAATAATTTAACATGCTTGCAGAAGAAATATCTGAAATAATGACTTATTCATAGTTTGGGACTAAAGAGAAATGAAATGCAAAAAAAACTGTAAATATAACATTTGGCTTAATTTAATCAAATTTAAAATCTTCAATTTTGAGTTACTTTTTGGATTTCAAACCTACATCTAGACTGTGCATGTAATAGTTTTTATAAGATGTTACTGATATTTTTGAAATTTTTCATGATATAGTTCCATAGGCACAAGGATCTCCCCTTCCACCCTCCTCATCCTCACACCCCCACTGTATTCCCCTGTATTGGTGCAATATTATAGTCCTTCAGCAACAGTCCCAAGTCCATCATTCTGCTATCTAAGTGTCTCAGGACATTGTAGATAGATAATGGTAGAAAGTCCAGCATCCTGTTGTCAAGATCTATTTAACAGTTTCCTTGGGAGTCGTTTTATTTGGGAGTAGATAGTCATACTGCACTGTATCTTTACTTCCTGGTATGGTAGTCTTCATTAGATGTTTTCTCTAGGTGAATATATGTATACATGTATTTATCTATGTATCTACTTATCTTGTATTTTGTATGAAGGTTGCCTTATATCAGAGAGAATATATGATACTGTCTCTGAGGGATTGGTTTATTTTACTGAGCTTAATGGTCTCCAGTTGGGACCATTGTGTTGGCTACATACATCAAGTAATTACTTATTGTGACAAAATAAAGTGTGAGTTTGGAGATTGACTGGTAAGTTATAATACTCATTTAGTAGTTGATGGCCTTGGGAGACTTTTTGTATCTTTACTGAAGAAAAAAACTCCTATTCATTTGTGATGTGCACATACATAATCCTGTTTGTGGATTTCAGAGTGTAGTGGTTGGTGAATAATCTTTGGAATCATCAAGGATCTATTAAAGAGGCCTGTTTTCTCATTGACTATCTTGACAAGTATCTTAACATATCTAACTCTACCTTAAGGAGAAATAATTATGGACATACTCACACACTTGTTAAGGGAGCAAATACTATAAAAACATGTCAGTGTGGTTGTTCTATGAAGTTATTCTTATTGTAATCTTTTTTTTTCTTACAGAAGAAGATAAATACAATCTATATTCACCTTTGCTTTTCAAGTATTTCCTGGCAGAGGGAGTTGTGAGTGGACATACTTTATTGATTGCGTCTGCTGAAGAAGAGCCTACTGACATCGTACAGGTATAAAACATATTAACTCAATGTTGCAATGTTTCATGAAAACAGTATGTGGTCAAGAAATGTTTTAATGTATAGATATTTAATACATTACTTCAACATCTATATTTTTAGGAATTTATTAATACATTACATTCTCAAGATCATAGCAAATATTTCATTATAGCACAATTCTAAACAATTATAATGTTAAGGTGATACTAATACAAGGAAAACAGACTCAGTATATTTCTTCAAAAATTCTAAGAATACTTTATTTCTTTTCTAGTTCCTCTTCCTTCTTTTGCCATATGTAATTTTTTCTTGGTTTCAAAGTTCTTTTTTTTTACTTCCTATCCCATTTTCCCTTTCCTTAGCATACTATACTTTTTATCCAGTGAAAAATACTGAGTTGATTTGAGCATAGTTTCATTTTAAATATGTTTTTTAAAGGTGACACTTTTTAAAAGGTGGACATTCAACCTAGACATTAAAAGATTACTTGGGGGCCCGGCGCGGTGGCGCAAGTGGTTAAGGTCCTCCCCTTGCACACCCGGGATCCCATATGGGCGCCAGTTCTAATCCCGGCAGCCCCGCTTCCCTTCCAGCTCCCTGCCTGTGGCCCTGGAAAGCAGTCGAGGACGGCCCAAAGCTTTGGGAACCTGCACCCACATGGGAGGCCTGGAAGAGGCTCCTGGCTTCAGACCGGCATAGCATCGGCCGTTGCACTCACTTAGGGAGTGAATCATTGGACGGAAGATCTTCCTCTCTGTCTCTTCTCTCTGTATATCTGCCTTTCGAATAAAAAAATAATAAAAAGAAATCTTTAAAAAAAAAAAGATTATTTGGGATTGCTACACTTACATCCAGTATTACGGTGTATTGTTTTGAGTCCCAGCTTTCTTCTCAATTATTATTTCCTCTTCATATAAACTGAAGGCAGCCAGTGATAACCCATGTCATGAGGTCTCCACTATCCACATTAGAGACATGAACTGAGGTCCTGGATACTGTCTTTAACCAGCTATTACAAGGATTTAGGGAGTAGACTGGCAGATGGGAAATCTTCCTCAATGTGCTTATGTATCTGTTTCTTTTTCTGAATTATAATCCATTCATTAAACTTTTGAAAGCTGATGCTAAATAAAGTTTTTAATCAGGCATTCATGATAATCATGTATAATAGCAAACAATTCCATATGATGTTACATACTGAAGAAAAGGGCCAATATCCTTTAATTATTTACCTCTAATTATAGCCTTCTCATCTTGATCTAATTAATCTATTTTCATTCCAGCATTGACTATGCACAAGCAGATTTTTTTTTTAAATTTCATTTTGTGACACATTTTCATAGGCTCTGGGATTCCCCCAACCCTTTCCCATGCCCTCCCCCCATGTTGAAGTCCTCCACGTTGTTGCAGAAGTACAGTTCATATCCAGCCATGATTCCCTCATTGCGAGCATGTACCATGCATAGAGTTCAGCATCTTATTGTCCAGATAAGTTCAACGGTTTCATTGGGAGACCATCACTGGTCAGAAAGTAGAGCTGGCAGAATATCATCCCCTCTAATGAAAACTCAAAACACAACATCAATAACAATTTCTAACATTATGGAGTTAATTGATATGGTATTGAGCGACTAATATGTTAGAAAATGCAAGTTCTTAACCTCATCCTGTGACTACTTCATTGACATTTCAAGTTTAGTTTATACACATTAAAATGGTTATAGGGTACTATTCAGCTGTCTCGTGTCTATTTTAATTTTTGTAGTTAGCAGCTTACAGTATTGAAGCCTGATTTTTACTGAACTTGGCAAATTTGGGATAGTCCAAGCAGGCTTATAACTCTAACAAGGCATATGTTAACAATTGGGGCACTGGGCCCGGCGTGGTGGTGCAAGTGGTTAAAGTCCTCCCCTTGCACGCTCGGGATCCCATATGGGCACCGGTTCTAATCCCGGCAGCCCCGCTTCCCATCCAGCTCCCTGCTTGTGGCCCAGGAAAGCAGTCGAGGACAGCCCAAAGCTTTGGGACCCTGCACCCGCGTGGGAGACCCGAAAGAGGCTCCTGACTTCAGACCGGCAAAGCATCGGCTGTTGCGCTCACTTGGGGAGTGAATCCATCGGATGGAAGATCTTCTTCTCTGTCTCTCCTCTCTGTATATCTGCCTTTCCAATAAAAAAAAAAAAAAAAATTGGGGCACAGAACAGTGTTCGGGGGAGTGTGCAGAGAAATCTTCAATACCTTGGTGAGGAATAACTAACTTTGTGTCCTACCTAGTAAGATATATGTGAGTCCAAGCTGAACGTTTCCTGTCTGTTCTAAGCTGTCCTTATTGGTCTCTGCCTATCTAATCTATTTTTTTGGGGGTGGAGGGTGGCCTACGATGGCATTCCATTTCCCAGTAGTCTCCTTGGCAGTTGGGATATAGCCCTTGGTGCCCGTGCTGATAGTCCTAGGTGAGGATCCAGGAGTCTCCAGGGTTGGGATACAAGCTTCCTCCTGTCCTCCTGCTCCACTCTGGGGTCCCCACCTGCACCGTGCACAGGATCTCCTTTTAAGCAGCTGTCAGGATCGCTCCTGATTCCCGCTGTATGTTTTTATAGTTTTGTTAATGTCTAATGCACAAGCAGATTTTTAAAAATGTAAAACTTTGTGAATCAGAAAGCATGACTTAACTCTTAGCTTCCTTAGGGCAAGTGCTGTGGCATAGCACTTTAACCTGCTGCCTGCTACACTGGCAGCCAGTATGAGTCCCAGTTGCTTCATTTCTGCTCCAGCTCTCAACTGATGTCCCTGGGAAGATGGTGCAAATACTGGGTTCCTGTGCCCACATGGGAGACCCAGGTGAAGCTCTTGGCTTCTGCCCTGGCTCAGCCCTGGCCGCCATGGCCAGTGGATAGAAGATATCTCTTTTATCTCTCTCTGTCCTTCTCCATCCGTAACTCTGTCTTACAAATTAATAAATAGATCATTCTTAAAAAAAATCCTTAAAAGAACCTTGAATTTTTCATTTTAACCTTCAAACTTTAGATGGAATTAATATGACCAATTAGATTAGGAAAGATCACTATAGGATTTCAAGCAAACAATAGAAAAAATAGCACTATCCCTTGATAAATAAATCTTTTTAAAAACACATAACTCAGAAGAACAATAAAAAATTAGAACACTTCACATTATTTTGCTTTTGAATACAAAAAATGAAAAGTTATGATGATATATGATTATTATATTGTAGCTTTTTTTAACTGTTTTATTGAAAGTCCAATTTACGGAGAGAAGGAGATACAGAGGGAAAGATCTTCCATCCACTGCTTCACTCCCCAAGTTGCTGCAATGGCCGGAGCTGAGCCGATCCAAAGCCAGGAATTTTTGAGCTTCTTCTGGGTCTGCCGTGCAAATGCAGGATCCCAAGGCCTTGGTCCATCCTCTACTGCCTTCCCAGGCCACAGGCAGGGAGCTCAATGGGAAGTGGAGCAGTCAGGACACAAACCAAAGTTCATAGGATCCTGGCACATGGAAGGCAAGGATTTAGTCACTAGGCTATGGTGTTGTGCCCTGCTGCATCTTTTTTAATACTGATATACTTTTACCTTAGGACAGCTCCTACTTTCAAAATTTTTTGTTTCTTTTTCTAGACAGGAACCCAGCTTCCGACATTGTTTGAATAAAGTCTGTGATTTGAAGTTATTTCTTCATAGAATATTTACCATTTCAGTACATGGTCCATAATATAACAAATATCTCATTTAGAGTGATTTTCAGAGTAATAAATGCTAACTTACAATAAATGTCAACAAATACCAACATACATCTACATGAAAATTAGTGTCACATTGTGAAAGTTATGCTAACACTGAAGTTAAAGCTAGCATATGAGTCCTTTATATGAATCAGACTTTGCCTACTAAATATCATTACTTGGACAAGCATTGTAGTATAGCTTTTTAAGCTGCCACTTGGGGCACTTCATTGCTTATCATAGTGTGTACTTTGAGTTCCAGCTGCTTTACTTTTAATTCAGCTTCCTGCTAATGCACCTGAGGAACATCAAAAGATGACCCCAGTAATTGGATTCCTACCACCCACTTGGGAGAGCTGGAAGAATGTCACAGTTCTAGGTCTTGTGGGTATTTTGGGAACAAAGCTGTGGTGGGAGCTCTCTCTCCCCTCTTTCTTCACATTGGTTTTTAAATAAATAAACCTTTAATATTAATATTGCCATAGCATATTATGACAAAAATAAGTCCTTGTGTTTTTATCTAGCTGAAAGGACAATTATTAGCCTAATTTTTTTATAATTATTATTGGAAAGTCAGATTTACATAGAGAAGGAGAGATAAAGATCTTCCATACACTGGCCAAGTAGCCACAATGGTAGGAACTGAGCCAATCCGAAGCCAGGAGCCAGGTCTCCCACGCAGGTGCAGGGTCCTAAGGCTTAGGGCTGTCCTCCACTGCTTTCCTAGGCACATGCAGGGAGCTGGATGGGAAGTGAAACAGCTAGTACACGACTCAGCACCAATATGGAATCCTTGTACATGCAAGGGAAGGACTTGGCTAGGCTACCATGTTGGTCCTACCTATCATATTATTTGATTGTGTAGTTATTGCAACAGTTTCTTAAGGTTTTATTATTTTGCTTTTCTGTCCAGCTTTACTCTTCTTCATCAGTGTTTAGTCAGTGATGCAGTTTTTTTAGGAGCGTTAGAGAAATGCTCAAAATCATTTACATAAGAAAACCAGACCATTTCTTCCTAGCGTATTACACAATGTATTGAGCCTGAGATATTATATCACACATGTTTGTAGCATCACAGAAAAATTCCACAAGCCAGAAATAAGAAGCCTATCCATGCTTTTTAAAATAAAATAACATTTTTATTTCTTCCTTGCTGCAACTCAGACAGTGATCTGAACATTTTGCTTTAGAGAATGTGAAGACTTTTGGGGTTATTTGCTTCTTTAAAAGCAGAGTTACAGGAAGAAAGAAGGAGAGGCAGGGGTGAGAG